TTATAAACATGGGTATAATACCTGCCTGTAATATAAAAAATGCTTTTGGAACCTTACTTGGTGGCACCACCACCATTTATTACTGATAGAGTAATTTACAGTCTTATAGATTCATTAAGTTGTCCCAGTAATAATGTTCGAAATATACTTCAACCTAGTTTATACTTGTGCCATATTTCTGTTCACAATCGTTATAATATTAATCAAATTACAGGTTAGCTTATTGGCCCTGTTATAATCTTGAGGACCCTGAAGGAGCTGAAAAGGGATTCTTCCTTATGGAGTTATCCATTTCCTAGTGCTTGTTTGTTCACTTGGATAAAAATTATAAAGTAATTTATTTCTTATTTTTGGTTTTTAAAAAGAAAAAAAATTGTTCAGGTGAGCCTTACTGCCTCTGAGTATCTGATTTATTATGTAATTAATTGTTGCATTAATTTTATAATCATTAACCGTTAATTATCTAAAATAACGTATCAAAAACAGTACTGCGTCTGATACTTCAGCTCTTTATGAATTTCCTTATTGGCTGCTAGCGGGTGCGTCGATTTACCCAAAAGGACCCAAAAGGACCCAAAAGGAACCCAAAGGACCCAAAGGACCCAAAAGGAACCCAAAAGGACCCAAAAGGAACCCAAAAGGACCCAAAAGGAAATCAGAAGGACTCGAATTAATATATTATAATACATTGAAAATTAATAATTTGAATTAAATTATGAATATTATATTATAAATTTACCTAAAAATTGGCAAAAACATACATTTATATCTTGCAACTTTTCTTAAAGAAATAACATACGACTTTTATAACACATCAGTCATTAAATCTGGTCAAATATGCTTTGATTTCTTTTAGCTGAATTTAACAAAGTGCACTGTATTATTCTATTTCTCCTTCTGTTTTATTATATCTTATTATATGATATTTGATAAATAAAGAAATAAGTATATTTAATGACATGTTCTAGGCATATGGTATCGGGGATGGGAGAGAAGAGAGATGGGGGGGGGGCTCCCACCTCAACCCAAACACGCACTTTACCCTCAAAAAACTAGTTTTAGTTTTAATAAAATATGAAAGTATTCATTATATATCCATTTAATCTCTTTATTTCAAGTCCTTTTGGGTCGTTCTTAATTTCCTTTTGGGTCCTTTTGGGTTCCTTTTGGGTCCTTTTGGGTTCCTTTTGGGTCCGTTTGGGTTCTTTTGGGTCCTTTTGGGTCCTTTTGGGTAAATCGACGCACCGGCTGCTAGCTTCTACGCGCTTAGTGGCTGCTGTTATTGGCTGCTAGCTTCAGCCTGGTGTTTACAAACTGAAAGTTGGAAATCATGTGAAGTTGAGCATTAAACTTACCACACAAGCCACAGGCCGTATGTAGACATGCACGCACATTTAATCTGCAGCTACGAAGTACTTTATCAATCCTCTGGAACATTATTTTCAGCAGAATTATCCGATTTATAAATTTTTGTGTGAATTGTTTACGAGGAAATTCCGACTGTTACTTTAACAAGCTGAGCACTCTTGACTCTGGTTCGTGGTTCCCAGTGATAAATGTATCGAGTGATGAAAGAGTCGACGGTGACATTTTAAAGTTTGATTGGCGTGGACTATCGGAATGAAGGTTAGAAATTTATTTTACCTAAAATTTAAATTACTATGGCAGCTTAGAGCATTGATATTTTTAGAACCGATACATTATCTGTTTTAAGGCTCAGACGCTTTCTGTTAGCCTTTTAAAATCCCAAGAGCTTTTTATTTTTTATTTAAACATATGTGAGTATTTAATATCAACAAGACTCACTTTCAAAACAAAAAATTCAACACTCCACTATCCATCATAGTGATACTCTTATAGATCGTTTCACGGTAACTGCGGTACTGCTCTTTTGCAGGGCAAAATGATATAGTTTGGTGAAATATGACATATAAGTAATTGTTAAATATACGTCATTTAATTATCTCTCAACAAAAACTTTGCCAAACGTTATTATTTTGCCCTGCAAAAGAGCAATACCGCAGTAACCATGGAGGGGTAATTCACACTACACTTATTATTTGTTGAATATACACCGTAACAATATGTTGACGGTGTGACTGTTAGGGTGAGGGCAGATACTTATTCAGTTTTAATTTAGATCGGGCTTGTCAAACCGCACTTGATATTTGGTGCATCGATGCTCTGTTCACACGGGGAGTTTAATTCAAATTAGTTTTATTAATTCGAATTACTTTACTGCGAATTAAATTACTTTGCATAAGCTTCATGTGAACACAAAGGGAAGCTTATTCGAATTAAATTTTGAGGCATGTGTAATGGCAAAATTAATTCAAATGCTACATGTTGGTGGTAAGCTTTAAGTACTTAATTGTGCTATTTTTGAGCGGATAGCCTTACTGACACTTGACTGTAGAAGTAAAATTTTTATTCGCATTTGTTTAATTTGCATTAGCTGTCATGTTAACACAGTTTGATTCCCATTAGTTTGATTCGCATTAGTTTACTTTGCAATCATTTACTGCGAATTAAACTCTCCGTGTGAACAGGGCACTAGACTTTGAAGTCACACGATGTCGTGGTGTAAGTTAGGCCTACACTACCAGTCTAAATCTTGAATAGTGCTGACTTTAATGAAGAATTTTTTCCCCACTATTTATCTGCAATTTATCCATTAAATCAAGGTGAATTTATTTTTTGGAAACTTTTGATCAATTCTTGCAAGAATGTAGCTTAAAGAATCAAAGCACTGTGGGTCCAAAGTTACTGCGGAAAAGAAATTGTGTGGATCAATAAGCAAGTGATAATTTTCTCTTCGCCAAGGCGTTGTCATGAGAGCTTGCACTATGAGCAGCGCTTCGTGCTGCTGTCTGTAATTGCTATAAATAGCTGTTCAAACAAAGTCTTTAGTATCAAAATTTATTGACAAAAATTTGCACAATTGTTGCTCAGTTAAATCTCAAAAGAAATTTGTAAAAACAATTGTAATAATAGAAAGTTTGCTTATTTTTAGATGACTGCAGGAATGGTTTGTTTGATTATTGGCCTATCAAACATTTTCCAGTCATTTGATGATGCCACCACTTGGGATAGTAAGCTGCAAATATAGACTTGTACTCAGCACTTATTGCCTTTGAGAAGTAAGGGATCCTTTTGACACTGAATCTCGGTGTATGCGGTCTCATTGGAGTAACCCGTCTGAAGCATTTAGCAATGGGATTGGAACCTGTGATGTAAGAATCAGCTTCTTATTGGTACTGTGATTGGTAATGTTATTTGAGAATTTTCACTCCTTCACTCATTTAGAGGTGTTAATATATACCTGTGAATAGTTTTTATTTAGACCTTTATTTGGAACTCAGTGACATTGTCCTAACATGTACTATGAGGTTTTTAAGGTCTCATTCACTTCAAATGCTGGGTGCATGGTTAAGTAACATTACTGCATCATGTTTTTGTCTTAGGTTTGATGCAGTGAATAATCAAAGTACTCAGAAGTACTGAAAGCTGGGCTCATTTACAGGGTAATGAACAAAGACTGTGATGAGAGTTTAAAAACAAATTCAGACATTGAGAGGATATGTTATCCACAAAAATATCTCTATGGCATATATATAGTATTAAAAAGTTTTAAAATTAAATAAAATTATTATAGAATTTAACAGCATAAAATATTCATCACATGTATCGTTTGAGGCGGTTTCGGGGATTTATATACCAACAGAAGTAAATAAACACTAATGCAGCAAGATTAATTAAGGTCAAATGATTATGCACTGATGTGTCCTCAGCTAGAAATTGCATCAAAGCGTACATCAAGTAATTAATGATGTTTACCGCATTTGTGTTAGACTCAGACAATACAACCTTTATTTATAGAATATGGCGCACACATCGATACCTGATGAAAACCTTTTGCATATTTTAAACAAATAATTAATTGAAGAAGACTGTAGAAAGTACATTATTATAATTATTTTTTGACAATTTCAGATAACTTTGAAAATTTAATTCTGTAATCAGTGTTTGTATTGCCTCAAATTTGATTGTGCAAATGTACTATATTTTACCGTGTAAATTTGATTAAGCATCAGTGATGAAGCAGCATTTCCTGTTGAACTTCGTAGCAATGAGCCCGGCTAGAAATCAAGCTAAACTTCAGGATTATATAAAGGGAATGCCCTACCACTAGGCTACCATAAAGACTAAGATGTATTTTGGTTATATAGGAAAAAATGCTTTGGCAAACACTTATAATGAATAGAAGCTTATAGAAAATTGAATTTTATTCCTTGTCTTTATAAAACATATGGAAATCTAAATGAAAAAAATGATTTACATGTACCCTGGTACATGTACTTTTACAAAAAAAAACATGGCTAGTTGGTTATGAAAATTATGGTGTCCAGATAAGGCTAATTGTAAAAGTGCTTCAGCATGTTTAGGAACAATGTGCTAACACGGTGTTCACAACACTGTCAGGCTAAGGCAACTTAAAATAACATGCAGTTGTGCTGACACAAAATATGCTGCCATGCCAACACAGCTTTACACAATCTATTACATGTAATCTTGACTGTGTGGTGTAAAAGCCTGCTGCAACATTGTTACAATGCACAAGTACATTGTCATTGTGTTGTCATAAACACACTAGACCATCATCATAAGTGTTGTAGCACATTTTTACTTCATGCTACCTTGTTAGTGTCTTAAACTGGCCAGAATGTTGTCATAAACTTACTAGCATGGTGTTATAAATGAGCTAGAGAGACATTGTTACTTTGCGCTAGCTCTTTGTTCCTTATGCAATAGCGTTTTGTCACTTCATTAGCGCATTGTTCTTAATTGCTGTAACACCTTTACGAATGGTCTTATCCTGACACATAAAAAAATCATAACTGGATACCATCTTTTTGGCTAATTAGTCGGTTAACAACTGTTAACCATTACCATTCCTAGTAAATTTTGATATGAACAAGTAATGTACATTTTCTTTATTTGAAATCATGAAAAACTAATATGTTATTTTATAACATCCTCAAATGACTGCCTGTAAACCTATATTTTTAAATAATTATAGACTACCGGAAAATGTGACAGTATCTTTGAACTCAGTTTAATGGTTAATCTTATCTTATAACAGTGTATAAGTTGCACTTTTTAAAAAAAATTCAATAAAAAATTTCAATTTCTTTTTGATAGGTGTGACTGTCATCAGAGTACTGAACTTTGATTCCAAGCATGATCATGATTTGCCAGAAGAGCATCTGTTGGGGGATGACAAGGAATAAACAGCATAATGAAATTGAAACATTCATGTGAAACAGTCTTAGTTTATGATATTGACTTTAAATATTCATATTTAAATTTTGATTTGAGAAACAGACATAAATCCACAAATATGAACAAATCAATTGCTTTCAGTTTTTCAAGAGAAATAGATTTTGTTACAGAGTCTATCTTTAGTTTGGAATAAATATTCTTTATAAGTATGTGTCAGATCTTGCATGTTAACATCTGTATTGAGGTCTTCCGTTTCCAAGAGAAGACATACCAGTTCTAATAGTTAAGGTTATAAATCTGTGTAAATATTTGTATTTTTACAGTATAATTGATTGATTGATTGTTTACTGTTTAACGTCCCTCTCCAGAATATTTCACTTATATGGAGACGTCACCATTGCCAGTGAAGGGCTGCAAATTTAGGCCTATGCTTGGCACTTATGGCCTTTGAGCAGGGAGGGATCTTTATTGTGCAACACCTGCTGTGACACGGGGCCTCGGTTTATACGGTCTCATCCGAGAGAACCGCCCCATTTAGTCGCCTTTTACGACAAGCAAGAGGGTACTGAGGACCTATTCTAACCCGGAAAGGTTTTTGCTATTTGAGTCAAAGAAATAAAGAATGGTAGCAAAGTTGACAATTGAAACATTTCACTTTCTGCTTATCGCTAAGAAGGAAGACCCACTCGTTGCTTTGCAACGAGCTTTATCTAGTCATTATTTATTATTATTATTCCACTTTTTTTTTTAAGAACTCTAAATATATTTTCAACATTTTCATGCGTGCATTTGTTGCAAAGATATGACCGATCCAAACTTTGTCTCACTGTCGGGGTTCGAATCCCGCTGGGGGGTTGCAAAAATTTTTCTCTCTGTTTCTGTCTTTTTTCAGTTGCATATGACTTTTCTTTCTTTTTTATAATGTATGGAAGATTTTGTCGATTTTTAAAAGCTATATTTTGAGATATTTTGTGGAATAACTGTAATAATCACGATCTATGTTGAGAGACTGCTGTCAATGAAAGTAAACGATAAAAATACATTCTGAAATCTATTTCATGGCCTGACGGAGCAGAGATTTCTAACGAAAAGTCGGGCGGAAGCCTGCTTGTTGCCCTAGCAACAAGAACGCATCTAGTTATTATTATTATTCCTGGGAAAATTTTGTCCACGAGTGATCTTGTAAACTATACATCCGACTAAGGTAAAATGTTTTTAGGGTCAGTAGACATGTTATGAATTT